CTAAAAATTGTATTTATTATGTGAAGTTGCAATTTGACTCTATTTTGATTAGAAATTAGAATTAGAATGGATATAGGAAAATATTGTTTATTTTAAGTAATGTTAAGCATTTAAGCGGAAAATCTTTGACTACAAAAACTCTGCTTGCTATTGCAGCCTTCTATAGTGTAGTGCCGCTCACCTCAATTTTTCTAATATGTTAAGAGCAAATAAATAAAGGTTCCGGAGCGAAAAACAGTTTAAGAATATATGCAATAGAAACGAATAGAGAAACTAAAATGTAAGCAGCATTTGTCAAACATCTTCAGTTGAACGACTTTTCACGGCGGCTTAAGGAAGCTGAAAAACGTATTATGTTATCTTTATACTTAACTTTACTTATGACATGTTTTTATAATCGTTTTATTAAAATCATTCTATAGAGAGTCTTATGAACTTCAGCCTTTACAACAATTTATTGTCTCACATGAATACTTTGAGCTTGAAACTGTTTTCAAATTAAAAAGCTATGATAATGTTACATAAAAGTTACGAATATTAACGCAGATAAAATATATAATTTATTGTAGGATAATTTATTGTATTATTTGATTGTATTATTTTATTTATTTATGGTATTATTTATTTGTATAAAAATCCACAGAACACCTTATATACAAAATTCTTTATGAAGTACCTTAAAGTCTAACTGTTGGCGTTGGAAATACTACTGAACCTGCAATGACAGGATTAAGATTCAGTTGCCTGGTAATTCTTGTCTATTTTATTGCTGAGATTGCCACAGTTAACTCAAGTTAATATATATATATATATATATTTATTTGAGTCATATGTGATTTTTCTAAACGATTCTATGCTTTCGATTCACTCACAAGGCAAGCAGCTCCTTAGCCCCTAACCTCACAACTTCACTGCACGAAAACTCATTACAGACTGTCTATGCCATTTCACAATATCAGTGATTGTGATCCACAGGCACACACACTTTGACATGCACATTCATGTGTCATAATAACATAAACTGAGAGACGTCTTTAACATGCCTAGCTCTAGACCTCTCACACTGCATGCCATTGTGACACTCAGATTGCTCCGGAGAGGCAGTGATCCCTTTCGAGATCATGAAGAGGAAGGCACAGAGCACAAACTTAGAGAAGTTTTCAACATAGAATAAGCAAGCTAAGGCTCATTCTTGATGAATATAAATACAGTGAAAATCATTAAATAGAGAGTTAATAAATTTTATAAATAATTTTTCTTTATTATAAAACATTTTCGAACTGATAAATGCTTAAATGAAAATATAGAATAAATAATTTTAGATCTAAATAATAACTCAAAAAACTTGAGTCATATCTCAAAAGATATAGCAATAACTCTAAGACTAAGCCAACTTTCTGCTGCATAAGCTTTTTCTTAACGCAATCAAATTGTTTCAAAATTCAAACTCCAGCAACAACAATTTGTCTTTTGGCTCTACCAACCGTCTTTACTGAAAAATTAAAATTTATGGAAACTTTATCTACGGCGTGCAGCATATTTCTTTTTCGCCATTAACTGATTTCAGGGTATATAAATGAGAAACACGAACGCCATGACAAACAGCAAACAAAACGCACAAAAGGCGTACAAAAAAAAAACAAAAGCTGAAAATGTAAACGAAATCCGCACCGAAAACAAGATGGCGCGCGTTACACGAGCGGCAGGGGTAGGGGGGAGGGGAGGTCTTGATGAGTTGACAAATATTTTGTCAGCCATAGTGAGTTGGCATTGACTCTGCCGCGTTGCCGCCGTGAAGGTCTCATTTGACATTTGTTGTCGCACGTCGCGACTCGCTGGTCATTAACAAAAAAACAGAACAGAAGTGAAGGCTGAGGCGCTGAGGATGAGGACACAACTTGGACATTCGACAGCATGTTAATTACGACCTGTGTCCGCCGAGGGTCAGCCGCAATTAAAAACTTTTGCTAATTTCGATGGGCAGCTTTTTAATACATAACGACGCTTCCCAAAGTGAAATCCGCAAATATCCTAATCCAAACTCATTCGAATGTGCTTTAAATATGGCAATTAATTCAGGTAAAAACTAATTAAAAGTAACGCAATCGCGCACTCGCTCACACCCATGCAGCTAGCCGTAAGCCGCAGGCGAAATTAGTGACATTTATTGCAAGCCTTTGACTTCTGAATAGATCAACATTTCATGGTTGAACATGTCAAAGCATTTGCCTCTGGCACTGACATATCACGCATACGCCGTGTGCCACAAAAACCACCCAATTAACCCATTTACGTGCGCCTCCGCCCCGCTCCCTTTGCCTATTATATTTTAGATTAATACTATTTATAACAGTCACGCACACAGACGCAAACAGCATCAAATAAATGAAAATATAATACAAAAGCCAAAGTAAACGCAAACACAAACACAAATACTCTCCATATTTGCTTGACTGCGGGCGCAATTTTTTTTGCATTGGGCAGACAAAAAAAAAACATTTATGTGTAGCTGGTTGACTTGACTTTGAGATACTCTGCCTTTAAATGTGATTCATGCATTTGTTGTTTATTAAGAATTACATGACGCTTTATGGACTTTGATCTGCCCTGAATTGCAGCTATTAATACAGATTAAATTAGCTAATGAATAATATATTTATTATAAATTCAGAAATATTATCTGGTGACACTTTTATGCACTGCTTTAGTTACTCAAACATTTTTTGTTTATTCACAAATATCTACTTTATGCCTTTCAAACTGATTGCTCTCAATGCACAATTTTTTAGTCACAGCTTAAAAGATCTCTTGAACAATTTTAAAATATATGCCAAAAATTTCAAAATATTCTATAAAATACAGAGTTTATTTTATATTCGTTACATATTAAAATATGTCATAAGACAAGACTTAATTTCACATATTTTTCCTAGACTCTTTGCTCTTCGTTTCTTTGAATTAAATCAAATCTTACGGCTTTAAATCACTCTTCAATACTTGATTCTTCCGCCCCCTCAATCTCTGCGAACAAATATGCCCCATTTGAAAATATTTTATTTTCAGGATATGAAACGAATTGTCATAAAACTAAATCCGAAATACATGTGTAAACACAATGTGGAGATTATCATAAACTTGGCTAATTTATTACACAATGTTTGTCGCTTTATGCATGGGCATGGTTGAGGGCGTGGGTGTGGGCGTGGCAGGCGCAATGTTAAACGCCTTGAGGATTAAAATTTTTGCGCTGACAACGGAAGTAATAAAAAAGTGTGTGTCTGTGTGTGTGTGTTTGGTTTGCTGTTATTTATTTATTTGTTTTTGTGTCACAAAACTAATTAGTAAATTAAAAGCGTGCATAATATTTATTTATTTGCCTGCCACACAAAGTCTGCTCTTATGCGCAAAGCGATTCTCGTTTTAGCTCAAAGGCAACCTACAACTATGATGAAAATTTATTGTAACAATATTTTATTCTTTTAATTTATTTCTTATAATATACATTTTGTATATATATAACACAAATTGCATTTGCTTGACATGTGAGAGATGATTTATGAGGTGCTTTCAGGAGATCTTTTGATTTAGACTTTGATTTCGTATTCATGTATTTTATTTATGAATTGAAATCAAGCTTTGAGCTTGGTAATTTTAAGAATTTGACATTTTTAATTTTATTTTATTTATTTAAAAATTGTATCGTAAAGAAACCCTTCAAAAATATGAATAATAATATAGCTGTATTTATTTATTAGATTTTAGACAAAATCATATTAGCAAGTGGCACAGAGAAGTTTTATTTTATTATAAATACATTTTTTAATTATATTAAATTAATTTATTCTTAAATAAAAATATTTTTTATTATTTTATTACAAAAATATTTTTTGTGTATATTTTTTAATAAATTTTTTTAAAATTATAAACATAAAAATACATAAAATTATTTAGGTTTTTGACAAGCCGCTGTGCGCTTGAAGACAATTGAACAGACATACCAAGGCGAAAATTAGAAATTGCATTGGAATTGTTGTGCATTAATACACTAAGAGAAAAGAACACATATACTTAAGAGAGCTTCTTAGATGAGCAATTGTTAGCTGCTTAGCTGTCAAACTCTGTAGCTCTAGATCTATAACTGTGAAAGATATAGTTTAGCAGGCACAGTTTTACTCGAGGTTATATAAATGCTAGGTTTATTCTATCTATATTTGCATACATGAATATATATTCGAACTTCTAGCTTCCATAGCGCCATATATAGGAGGCTTAAGTTTCAAAATATATACAATTTCCAGATTTCCCATGTGTCTAGTGGCCATATCCTAAAACTTGATAATCTGAGTAAATATTTTAAAATCCAAATCTCCCGCTCTAATTCGAGCAAAATTCTTTGCCGTGATACAAAAGAGCTGCACAGACAGACGGTCATTGCCCACAAACAATATACCTCTTTCACTCTGTATTCGCCTATTAAAATCAGTCTAAAAAGTGCTGCAAGCACACATAAATTTGCAACATGAGCCGTTAGCTAAAAATAAAAACGCAATGATAATTTGTCACTGAAATTACGGCTACCTCTTTCGGCAAGCCAAGCATCTAAGAAACTGATTACACTCATCAACAAGGGCCTACAGAGAGCGTCTCTATCTTTGGGGTAGGCCGCAATCTGAATGCATCCATTAAAATGTATGAAAAGCGGCTCAGACTCAAGCAGGCACTTGCGAGAATATTAATGCATATATAAAAAGCCCTGGCAAAACACAAGGGTATCATTAGTTTGTCATATCCCCAGGCAGCACACACACACGCGCGCACACACACCAGCATACATAAATGATTTCTTTAAATAACACATCATGAAATTTTAATAGACAGCAGTTGCTTGCAGCTGTCTGTATGTAATCATAAACACGCAGCGTGCTACTTAGCTTGATTTGCACGGCAGCCACACCTGCACACACCTGTACACATGCACACAAATTGCTTTACACACTTACCCAAATAGGTGCTATTTGTCAAAACCCAAAAGATTTTTAATGGATCGACCATAACTACGCAGGCAAACGGGCAATAGCAAAAGCTAAGAAGGACTTCAAGTTGATGTTGCTGCTGCTATGATTACTGCAGTTGCTGCACGCCGGCAACACCTTGGTAAACAGCAAGTTGCCGCCTCACCAGTCAACAGTTGTTTGCTGTCAGAGCTTTGTACAGCAGCTAGCAATTAATTTCTTGCTGTTGCTGCTGTGGATATTGTTGCTGTTGTTGCTGTTGCTATGGCGCGAGGCTTTGTAATTTTCCTTTGTTGCTGTGAATGATTAAATGATAAACGCGACTTTGCCTTCTTAGTTGGTGATGGTGTTGCTGCTGTTGTTGCTGTTGCTGCTGCTGCTGCTCTTGGTTGGCTTGCCTGCCCGTTTGTTGATTCGCACTATATTTAATGAGCAAAGCGCGAATGCTGCAATTGCGGTCGCTGCCGTTGCCGCTGCTGCTGCTGTTGCTGCTGTAGAGGTTGCTGCTCCTGGCTTTGAGGTATTTTTGTAATTTGCGTTGTGCACTTTTATGGCGTTTGCATAAATCGAAAATTTGCGCATTTTTCATAGTACTAAGCGTTAATTTATTTTATATTGCATTGCTCAAATTCACATTTTAATTAACTGCGAATGCGAACGGGAGTTATAATTGAAGTGTTTCACATGTCGCACAAGTTTAATTTAATCTAGCCGTATATTGCAATTAAATTTTTGCGGTTTATTTACACTCAGTTTATGTGTCAACGACAGCAACAATGTCGTAGCCACTCACCACTCGCACGACACCACCCAACCATCCAACCACCCAGTTCCCTTTATCATTGTTGCTGCTGCCAGAGCAACATCATTATGGTTTTGCTCTTCATTATCTCAAGCTATTAAAAACTTATGACATTGTCATAAACTTTTAACCAGTTTGTGCTTTTTTTTGTCCCTCTCCCGCTCTGAATTCGTTGTGCAGAAAATAAATTTTGTTTTTCATTTTCATTTTCATTTTTTGGCTTTTCAATTGCTTTTTTTGACATTAAATAAGTTGAAGCTAATATTAACTAAGGGCATTTGTGTAATTATTATTTTTAAATTGTATCTGTGGCCGAGTCTGGCATGTGAGAAGGAAAAGCAAAAACTTTTAATAGCGCATAAAAGTAGGCAATATATTTAGAGTTATCAATGGGCAAGTGTAGTTGGTAGACTTTTTATACTTAGGCCATAAATTTGGGTCATAAAAAGGAGGGAGAAAGAGAGACAAAAAATGGAGAGACTCTCAATGAAAGAAAGAAGAAGTGATAGAGAAAGAGAGAGAGAGAGAGAGCTAAGTAGATAGAGGGAGAGCACACATTAGTTAGATTAAAAGCTAGTAAGCGAATGGTCACTAAGGAATGATGAGATATATGTTTTATTGACTTGAGAGCTAAAGAAAGATTGTCATAAAGAAAGATTGAGTGAGAGAGTGAGATTAAGAAATGAGAAGAAGAAAAGAGTTGGCCTTGGGACATAGAGAGGAAAGAGAACGCGGCAGTGTGAGGAAGACAAGACTGGGTGAAAAGAAGAGCACTTAGCATAATTTATAGACAATAAAAGAGCGAGAAAGAGAGAGTGAGAGAAAGAGCTGGTGAAAGCAAGTCAGGAGAGTAGTGAAAATCAGGGAGTGTGAGGCACAGCAGCAAAGTCTAAGAAGAATATATAGACTTGTCAAAGAAAGAAAGATGGAGAGAGGGAAAGAAAGAGTAAGAGATATTTAAGTTAACAGAAAGAGAAAGAGACAGACAAATTGAAAGATAAATAAATATTCCTTGATAATTTCGTTGACACGACATTGTTCGCAGTAAACAATAATCGACATTTATGGAAATATTTGCGTTTAATCTACAACTAAATGGAGATTGTGTAATGTGAGATTTATCGGCAGCTGGGCAGCTTGGCAGCTGTGTCACATTTGAACTAAGCCATTCAAATAGTTGTCAAGGTTCGGTTAGAGAAGAATTTTGGATGGCCTGCGGCAAGGTGTTTGCATTGGCAGAGTTGGCAAATTACTCGTAGCAGCTGGAGTGGACGCCTTGAAGCCGTGTTGCTCACAAATTCTGAATCGCACTTCAAACACACAGTCGCTGGCTCGGGTTGGTTGTAACAACAGTTTATGGCCATTAGCGAACTTGGGGCCAAACAAAAGGCGCCAATTAACGCAGCTAAGGCTTAGGCAAATGGGTCCAAGGGCTAAAAGCGAGCAAGTACTAAGGAAAACGCTACACGGTCTATGCTTTGCCTCAAAGCCTTGACCTTTATCTGCAGGCGATTGAAAGGGCAGTGCGAGAGAGGCAGAGAGAGAGAGGGAGACATTGGCAGCAGCTGCTGCTGCTGCTGTCTGTAAATATTTAATTGTTTATGCCATCGCCTAAGCGTGCTTCAACCATTTGGCCCGCTTTTGAGGCACTTTTAATGGACACACAGAGAAGGAACGAGAGAGAGAGAGGGAGAGCGAGAGCGAGAGCTTTAGCTTAGCCTGGCTAAGCTAAACTCCATGGGAAAAGACTAGGCGATTAAAGCTAACGCAAAGTAATTAGTAACTCAATTGCTTTCAGCTACAGCGTTGAGTGGTGCTGCATACAAATGGCTTCCGTTATTGGTGGTTTTGCTTGGCCCCGTTGGGCGCCATCTTGCCATGAGCTGGCTTCATAAATTATGCATAGCGAAATGGTGAACGTAATTGTGCGAAAAAAGCTGGCATTTTGGTCAAATCAATTGGCAATATGACAGCGACGCGACGCGCAATGATTATAAAGGACGAACAACAAAAAGTAAACGAGAAAAAAAGAAGCACTGCAATTGAGGTCAACAATATTAGCGTCAATTTTTAGCTGGCTTAAGCACAGCTGCGCTCCCAATTCAACTTATGCAAATTTATGACTGCTCAGCTGCTGCCGCTGCCCATCAGCGTCGGGGCCAGCTTAAAGATTTTTAAGCCTTGTCTTCTTGTCCAGCCGCGTAGCTGCCAAAAAGTTGGACTTGCTCATTTTTTAAGCAGAGCTTCGCTGAATGGACGCCGAGCATAAAAGACTCGCTCGCCAGCCAGCACCTCCGATGCTGCACAAATTTCGAAATTGCACGCTTCCGCCCACGCGCAGCAGCCGCAGCAGTAGCAGCAATAGTTGTTGTTGTTGCTGTCAAGTAAAGCGAGCCCTTGCGCTAGTTTTGGCCGGAAATACAAAAGCATAAACTTTCCGGCCAGCCAGCAAACCGCAACGACAGCGTCCCAAAAATAAAGTAAAAAATCACAAAATATGGCGGAAGTTTAATGGACAGAAACTTGCTAGCTTATCCCGCTAAGAAAACGAAAAAAAAGAACGAAAAAGCTGGCTGGAAAGGAACAAGAGGAAATGCGCCAAGTAAATTAGTCGAGAGCCTGTCGGTTGGCCATTTGGCCGACAAAATGTTGAAAGAGCGAATGCAATATTTCGAATGGAAGTGGAATATTATTCAACTTCAATGATTTCCTACACAGAAATATTAATTACAACTTTGGCTCAGGCCAAGCTGAAGACAAAGTAAGCTTTCTCCTCACTTTAAATCATGAGAAAACATTTTTTGTTTGCCCAACTTTTGCGGCTTACATTGTGTGCGGTTGGCTCTCTATGGGCAAGAGCACAATTTACGTTTATGGCAATGAAGGTCAGCGTAAAGGAGCACAAATGGACTAACGGTTTATTATAGTTGTATAAATTATAATAATAATAAAATGAAACAACTGAGCAAATAGACCAAAGGCCAAGCTGAGACGATGAAGAGACTAGGGCAAGGAATTACTTGAAGGCCAGGAAGATTTCTTACAATTAAATAGGAATTTAGCTGGGTTAGAAAAGATGACCGAAAAGGTTGATAAATGTAACATATATATATGAATATATGTGAATATATATATTTATATTATGATAATGTAAGAAGTACAAGAGATGTAATAGAAATCGTGCAGAAAATAGAGAGAGAGAAGATATAGATATAGCAGAATATTTGCAGGTTTTTCATAGTAGCATCAGAGACAAAGCATATGTGAAAGTTAATAAGCATATGTGAAAGTTAATAAGTATCTCACAGATTTACAAGATGGGTATGACGAAGTGTGCAGCTAATATAGGTTGGGGGTCCTTTTGACAAGAAAATATATATAAGCAGAAGAAAATGTAAAACAAAATTGAGTTTTTTTTTAGAGCTATACAAGATTACATCGTTTTAAAGTATAAAAAAATATTCTAAATATCAAAGCAACGGCCTGTATTAAACAAAAAATGTTATGACATTAATGCTTAACTATAATTTTGGCCATGTGGCCGCCACAGCTGGCGCGTGCAAGACTCCATCTGCAACAGCAATTTTCACAATCATCACAATCATGATCATCATCGAAGATATAAGCACCACTGACTTCGCCAGTCCATAAAGCGCAGTCAACAGTATTTTGCTGTGGATGTAATGGTGTCTCGATAAAAGCTTGTGAATTGCCCTCACTTCAAATGTAACAATCTTGCTTAATTACGTATTCATTCAAACAGGAGTGGACGAAGCTTGAAGAACATCAAATGGCAGAAGTACACGATAAGTTTGACAATTAGAACCATTTTTTGACAATTTGCAAGCGCTGCTCTTATGTTAGTCTATCATAATGATATGTTAATTCAAGCTTAAAAAAAGGCATTTATTAGTTATTAAATGCAGAAGTATTGGTAACTCAAAATTGGCAATGTCTAAAGAAAACACTCTATATAAGAATTTTAAAGACTTTCTTCAATTAAATGAATTTTTGAATGCCTCATTATTTCAATAGAAATCTTACTCAAGAAAGAACAATTACAATATTCAAAAGTGCAGCACATACTAGTTTACTACTAGGGAGAAGAAATTACTTTAAAAGCCTTGAAGAAAAGTTTGCAAAGAAAATACTAAACAAATACCAGATTTTATGCGTAAACAATCAGTAAGCGGCTTTAAGCGACAAAGTTGGACAAAGAGTGAGGTCCAAAGAGCACTCGTTG